AAGGAAGGAAGGAAGGAAGGAAGGAAGGAAGGAAGGAAGGAAGGAAGATACCTGCTTTCTCTGGGCTTCATATTCCAGCCTACAACTTCAGAAGAAGACTTCAGTTTTACCTGAGGCCAGACCAGATCTAGGGACCCAAGTACCCCATCCCCTGAGCTCCATACTCTGGCCTACAGTCCCTACAACTTTACCAGAAAACAGGTTGGTCCAAGAGACCCCAGGTAAGATACCACCCACTATCCCCTAACACTCCTTAAAGTCTGCCTAACAAACCCAGACCACACACGCTCCTTGAACTCCATACTGCAGTCTACAAACTCAGAAGAAGACTTCAGCTTTACCTGGGGCCAAGTCAGATATAAGAACCCAAAGCCACCCAAAACCCTGTGGAGGCACCCTACTGGACCTGAAGATTTACTAGTCACCAGAGCCTCTGACTACTTAGGCCAGAAGATCAGAGAGGAAACAGAAACCAAAGAACAAAATGCCCATCCAACAAAGACAGATGTAGAAATCAACACCTAGATCTACAATCATCCCAAACCCAGATGTCAAAACACCAGTGTAAAAACACAATCAATAACAGAAAGGACAACATGGCACCACTGGAACCAAGCTATCCTGCAACAGCAAGACCTGAACAATCCAAAATAGCTGAAGCACAAAAAGAAATGACCTTAAAAATAACTTTACAAAAATGATAGAGGTCCTTAACGTGGAAATGGGGGAGGGGGGAGAATCTCTTAAAGAAATTAAGGGAAAGACTGTCTTAGTTAGGGTTTCTTTTACTGTGAAGAGACACCATGACCAGCAACTCTTAATAACTATCTCTTAATACGTGCTGCTCCAAATCAGTCTCTTTATTGTCCCGCCATTCCACAAAGTTTCCAGTTTACACACAAACACACACACACACACACACACACACACACACACACACAAAATTCTCTGGAAACAGCAAGGTTAGAAGGCTTGAATTTCTAAGGATCATAAAACAGAAAAGGTCTGCATGAACCAGTTACTGTCAGTTTACTTTATGGCTCAAGGGAGGCATGGCTGACTGGTAAGATACCCTAGCAACTCTAAAAGGTCAGTTAAGGAACTTTAAATTCTGATAAGGGAAAAGGGGACTTTGTGTACTATACTACATTCCTAAGTGTGGCTAATTAAGCTATAAGTGTAACACTGATAAATGTGAAAAGGGGGAATGCAGCAGCACTGTCTCTCTCCAGGCACTCTCTCAGCTGTCCCTGCCAGTCTCTGAGAACAGCTTCAGGGTAGCCATGTCAACCTGCGTGAATTGCAGAAGAAAAAAAAACGTACAACATTTGTCTCACATTAGCATTTTCACCAAACGTTAGCTGACTAAAGGGGACCTCTCAGCTTTAAGAACTGCATTGTTTATCCTAAGTGGTTAGAACAAAAGGTAATCGAAGCCTGCCCTTTTGTCTGCAAGGTCCTTGGCCAGCAAAAGGCCCTGCTCCTGTATCAGGAGGTCCATTCAGAGGGGTAAGTGTGTGCCTGCCCGGGCAGCTGAACATTCCAGGAATGGAGTACAGACACCCTCCAATCCCCTAAACTTTCTGGCCACTCAGCGGAGCTTCTCCCCGGCTACTGGCTTTCTCTATGTATTTCATCCCAGCTTGCCTCCAAGTACCCCTTTCCATCTGCCTGGTCCTAGGATCCCCCAACTCAGCCTGCTTTGGGGCTGAGGGCCTGGGGACACAGTGGTGAGTGCTACTGCTGCAGGGGTTTCTTTGTTCCCCTGAACCTGCACCTACCAAGCCTGCCCTACTGTCTGTGAGGTCCTTGGCCAGCAAGAGGTCCTGCTCCTGTACCAGGAGATCCATCTGGAGGGGTAAGTGTGTACTCGGCCAGCCTGTCGGCCACCCCAGGAATGGAGTACAGGCCCCCTCCAATTCCCTAAACATTCCTGACCATTCAGCCAGTTGTCTCCCCAGATACTGGTTTTCTCTAGTTACTCCATCCCATCTTTCCCCCAAGCACTCCTTTCCAGCTATGGGGTCATTAGATCCACCTCCACAGTCTACGTCAGGGTGGAGGGGATCTGAGAGCCAGCTCCAGTGCTGAGGGATTCTAAGAGAAGTCAGACCAAGAAAAACCCTCAAGTACACAGTCAGCCACAGCAAAGATTGGACCAAGATGCTAGGACTCGCCCGACTGCATTTGAAGGAAGAGATGGGCAGGCACCAATGCAAGAATTCCTCCAAAAACCTGAAAAGCAACATGATATCACCAGAATCCAGTGGACATGCAACAGGAAGACTTGAACACCCTAATGAAGAAGAAGAAGAAGAAGAAGAAGAAGAAGAAGAAGAAGAAGAAGA